TTTGTGTTAACCAGGGTAGGCTAGAGTCTCCAAGATGATGCTGTGAGATTTTCTTTAAAGATATTGTAAGCATTTGATCAACAGAATTTACATAAGGCAGATCCTCTCCCCTTGTAACATGGTAGTGCCTCATCTACTTCACTGAAGGTCTTAAAACACTGGGGACGTGGGGGCTGGAGAGATGGCTCAGTGCTTAAGAGCACTGGCTGTTCTTCCAGAGCACCCAGGTTCACAGTAACTGTCTGTAACTCTATTCCAGGGGATTTAGCACGCTCATGCAGACATACATGCAAGCAAAACACCAACACACAGAAAATAAAATAATTAAAAAAGAATGAAGAAGAAGGTCCACCTGGGACTTCAGACCAGCATCAGCTCTTCCCTGGGTCTAGCCTGCCGGACTGTCTTGCACCTGCCTCATGGATTTGAGACTCGCCAGCTCCCACAGTTGCGTGAGCCAATTCCTTAAAATAAATCTCTCTCCGTTACACACACCCTATGAGTTCTAATTCTCTGGTGAACCCCTACTAACAATTCCTTCTTGTTGTAGAACACTGTGGAGTTCAATATGCTATTTTGGATGAAAATATGTTTGGGGTAAAGATAGTTTTATTTGGAACTCATTTATTAGGGTGGGACCCAAGATTGGAATCCTTTTTAAAGTGTTTCAGTACAGGAGCAAGATAAACATCCCTCTTTAGTTCAGCTCACTTTCCACTGGGGAACAAAAAATAGGCCAACCATTGGCATTTGGGTATGTGCTGGAATTGGGTTTTATTTGGAACCACGACTTTAGGTCCCATAGGAAGCATAAATACTTAGCCCAGTGCATACCCCATCTAAGTGGCAACACTCTGTAAAGTTTTCCTTGGAAATTTGTGGATCTGTGTTTAGCTGGTAGGAACTTTAAGCATAAGAAGCACTAAGAAATGTGTCAACCAGAGTTCTTTTTAAAAAGTGTGTGGCGTTTGTGGCTGGTGTCTCCCTCCGTCTCTCTCCCTCATAGATTGGGGCTCTCTTGCATGAACACAAAATTCACTGATTTAGTCCAGCAAGTATGTTCCAGAGATGGATTTCCTGCCTCTGCTGCCTTAGACCTGGGCTTATGGGTGCACTATTAAGTCAACCCAGCATGTAACTGGGATCGAAAACTTTGGTCTTCACTCCTGTGGAGCAAGCACTTTATCCAATGAATGAGCCATTTTCCCAGCCCATATTCTTAAAAGAGCAAAAAGAAGGTTTATTTTTATTTCATGTAGGTACACATGCGAGTACCTATATGTTTGAATGTATACAGTATGCATGCCTGGCATTCTCCCATACATGCCTCTTGCCGGCGGAGTCCAGGAGTGGGGTGAGATCCCCTGGAACTGGAGTTACAGGAGATTGTGAGCTGAGATGTGTGTGGTAGGACTGACCCCAGATGCTCTGCAAGAGCAGCAAGTGATTTTGACCACTGAGCCACCTCTCTGGGTTCCCATATTCCTTCTTTAAAAATTCCTGTCCCCTTTTTAATATTTTTTATTTAAAAATTTCATTTGTTTTATATACTGACAACAGTCCCCCCCTCTCCACACCTTGCTTCTACCCACTTCCTCTATGCACAACTCCGCCTCCCCTTAGAGAGGGGTAGGCCTCCTATGGGAGTCAGCAAAGTTGAGGCAGGACCAAGGTCCCCCCCCCCTTATCAAGGTTGAGAGAGACAAACCCAGCATGGGGCATGGGTCTTATATTCCTTCTTCATGTACAGGTTTCTTCTGCCTTTGCTTATTAAATGTCTCAGTGAAATTGTTTTGCTATCATCCCACAAATACTGTGACAGCAATTATGGAATTCAAAGAACTAAATTTACTTTACAAACTTACTGTTCTAGAAACGTAAACTTAAGGGCACAGGCTGAAAGAAACATGACAGATCTCTGAGCCTAGGGCAGAGGGTCTCTGGGGAAGGGAAATCTTGAAGATGCGACAGTCAAACAACTGTTGTTTCTGTCACGTAGTTGACAAGTTGGTACTCCCAGAGTGGCCCAGTGAAATTGCAAGCACATTTGCGCCTTTTGGAAAGCCCGGAGGCTGTTGGATTTTCATAACAGCTGTCTCAGTGAACCTTCCCGGCCGGGCTCAACTATCTATCCACTGCCCATTTCCCTTTTTGTCGTCTGAAGCCCTAACATGAGAATCTGGCACTAGACCACGGTGGAGAGCATCTGCCCCAGGGAACTGTGGTGACTGGACTGATGCCTGCTTGCAGCTGAATGGGGACGCACAGCCAGGTCTTAGCAAGGAAGCAGCTGTCACTCCAAACATCAGGCTCAATGTCACCAGCTTGCTTGTTTCCTTCTTCTAAAGCGGCTTAACTGCCTTAGGAAGGTAGCGCTAATGACTGGACACAGTGCCGCTCACACTTAGCCTTGCAGTTTAGGAAGCGAGAGAAGCAACTTTCATTTAATGTTTCCTACACTGGATGGGGTACTGTGTGTGTGTGTGGGGGTGCTTGCTGCAAAGGAGGGTGATTTCCGATCACTGCCTGGGTTTGAACCACACAAGCTGTTAAGTCACTTATCTTCTTGTGTCAGGTTCTTTCTGAATGATAACACCGTAGAATGGTCATGATTATGTCTGAAGCACCCAGGACAGTTTACAATCATAGCAGGTGCTATACACGTTTGCTTTTATCTGTATTAGTTAAATGTTAATACAGTCCCATTTATCCTTTGGAGATGGAGGAAAATGAGACTAAGTCCATCACCGGAGATGGCAGAGCATGAAACCAAATTCACATTTGTCTACAGCTCCACCCCTCCCCCCCCCCAGCACAACCAGGCATGCTCAATGCTATCAAATTTCCTCTCCTGCTTGCCAGCTTGGGGTTGAGTTTATCAGCTTTTCTTTGTACTGGAGAGGGTGAAATCCTATTTAAGACTGTTTTTAATCCTCCATTCCACTCATCTCTGGAAAAAAAAAAGCCAATGGTCAACATGCTGGGGGTTTGGGGTGCATTGAAGGGAGCAACTTCCTTCTATTCCCCATTCTTTCCCCTGACTACCAGGGACTAATCATAACTAATATTCAGTCTGGGGGATTTAAGGATGAAGACAGGCTCATAAGACAGCTCTGCCTAACAGAAATACAACGGGAGTCATGCGAAATGCAACTAAGAGTTTCCAATAGCTACACTGAAAAAGTAAAAAGAGTGCAATTTAAAAATACCGTTTAGCTCAAATATCTTAACCTGGGATCAATGTGAAAATTATGCAGGAGAAATTATTACCTTTTTGGGTACTGTTAAATCCATGATGTTTTCTACACACACTACCCTAGAACATAAATGATGAGGCTGTTAACACCCGAATACTGCAAGTGCCTATTTTATTTATGTATTTATTTAGGTCCACCTTATTCATGTATGTCTAAAACTGTCTTCCCTGTTTTCATTTTCACATACTATGGGGGGGGGGAAGTTGGCTGAAGGAATAATGGGGACGCCCTTTTCTCCAAAATTCTTTTTTTTTTTCCTGCAGCTGAGATTTCTTGTGTGATCTGCCTGCCTGTCCTGCTCCCCACGCAATCAGGGTTAATATGGAGGGCATTAGCAAGACTCAGGCCTCCCTTTGGGAGTCTTTTCCCGAGTCTTGTGCCTCTGTAGCCACCACAGGGCCTCCACTGACGACAACAGTCGGATTAGCTAAGCAGAGGCTTGATAAGGGCTCAGATTTCTTGGACCGGATGACAGGCCAGAGTCTGGAGCCCCGGGTATCGCAGGCCCTACTCAGGATGCGCAGTCTGTCCATCACGAGCATCCCAGCATCCGCTTGCGCTCAGCTGTGGCAGATCCGCCAGGGCCCCCGCCTCCTCTAGGACCTGCAAAACAGCAGGAACCTCCCCGCCGCCCGGCGTCCTTCACCCCCCGTCCCCCGTCCCCACAGGACCCAGGGCGGAGTCGCCCACCTGTCACCGAAAAGTCCCACGTGGGTCAGCCGGAGGAGGGGTTGAAGGGAGGGAGAAAAGGCAGAGGCGTGGAGGGAGGCAGACGTGACAACCCCGGGAGGAACCGAGGAGGAGAGACGCAGAGAGCGCCCAAGAGCAGAAGAATCTAGAGGACGCCCCCGCCCCACCCCAGACACCTAGAGACAGGTAAGGATGGGGCGGGTGACAGGAGACAGAAACTAGGTTAGCGGGAAGAGAAGGCAAAGACGGGAGCGAGGAAGGGGCTGTGCCAACGCGACGAGATAAGACGGGTGGAGGCGCTGCCCGAGAACGCTTCTAGCCCGAAGGCGACCGGCTGGGGGGTGGGGTGGGGAGAGGAGGAACCCAGGCGTCTTCACCTTTAAGGTTGCCAAGGCAACCGCTCTGGCCAGAGCGAGGCGCATTGACGTCAGCAGCCGGGCTCTGATTGGCCGCGGTCGGCTCGTTTCCGGTGGAGCCGTCGCGGAGCCGCTATCGCTGAGAGAGGGGTTGAGGCTGCGAGCTGAACCCCGAGGACGCCCCGGCACCCCGGCAGCCTCGCCCCGTGCAGATCCCGCCCGCGCCGCCGCCCGTCCGCAGGTGAGTGCGGATCTGCCGGGGCTGCCCCGGGGAGCCACCGGCCGCGGTGCCCCCGCCGCGCGCTCCTGGGGGCGCGGGAGCGAGCCAAGATGGCGCCCCGGGGAGCGCGCTGCGGGGGGACGGCCGCACCCCCTGCGCCTCCAAGGCGGCCGAAGCGGCGCCTGGCGCCGGCCTCGCACACCCGGGTCGCACCTGCACCCCTCCTCCCGGGGCCCTAGGCCGCTCGTGTCCCTCTCCGCCACCGTGCCGCCCCCCTCCACCCCGCGGCCTTCGCGTCTCCGTGTCCCCAGCCCTGCGCGGCCTTCGGGCCTCCCTCGGCTCCCCGGCCGCCTCCGCCCCCGCGCGCCGCGGCCTCCGCGCTCGTCCTCCCTCCCCCACTTCCTGAAGGACAACAGCTCGATTTTTTTTTTTAAACCGGAATCCGCCATGGCTCTTCTGTCTGGTCTTGATACTCGGCTGTAGTCTTCCCATCTCCCCACCCCGGCCATTTCTGCGCCCGGTTTCCCCTCCCCTCCGCCGGCTCGTCTCCCTCCACCCCTCCCTCTCCCCTCGGTGATTTCAGCCTGGCTCCGTTTCCCTTTGTCCCCTTCCCACTTCTCCTTTCCCGATTTCCAACCCCCGTCCCCTCGCCGCCCACCCCGGCTTTCCCAGGCCTCCTGCTCAGCGTCTGAGGCCTCCGGCCCGGTGAGGGATGATGGGGGTCGTCCTTCTGCACCCAGTGGTCATGACCGTGGCCGGAGGGAAGTGAAGGGCGCCTAGCTGTCCTCCCTCATGAAAATACGCGGCGCCTGTTAACCCCTGCAGCTCGGTACGGGCGTGGGGGACAGCTGGCGACTCGAGGGAGCTTCGGTAGATGGGCTTCTCGAGCAGAGAAAGGAAAGCTCGGACTAGATGATGACCCCCTGGGCCGCGTTAGTGGTACTTGGCATCCTTGGGGGTGGGGGTGTGTGAGGGCCGTGTCAGCAACAGGCTCTCAAAGCGTTTTAAATATGTCTTCCAACGTAGTCCTCCCGAAAGCAGAGTTTCATCAGAGGCGAATTGCCTCTAGAGTCCGCCCTCATGAATAGACCGGGCTGTGATCACAGGCTTTAGAGTGTTTTGTTTTGGAGGGAGGCTAAGCCCTGTTGGGCTTTGGAAAATAAGCACAAATGTGGCATGAGGACATACCCGATTAAAAACATCGAGGCCATAAAACGAGATGATTGGGCTTTCCCATGCTGACTGCAGTAAGTTGGCAGCCTTTGTATTACCTTTACCAGAGCTGCCGTTGTGGTGCTTGTTATGCATCAGCTGTTTTCCACTTCTTAGGCCCAGTTGAGCCATCTGTACCAGCCAGAGACCAGACGTGAGAACGGTTTCTCTGGTCAGTTAAATACACATGTTCCGACATGCGTGAAAGCATAAAAGATTTGTTCTATCCACGTTCCTGGTGGCCGTCAGTACTTGAAAAGGAGAAAATTCCACTGACGTGGATTCTTTGTTTCATATGGTGTCTGACCTGGAAGCATGGCAAAAACAAATGTTATCTCATAGTAAAACTCTAGAATTTATTCTAAAAGAACTGCGTGCCTGTCTCTTTGGGGTTTCTAATTTGTGTGCTTGTCACGGAGCCACGAACTTTCTCCTGGTCTGTTAATTGCTTGTTATTGACCTTTATTTTGAAAGTTGTCAAAACAAAACGATAACACTTTGAAATAGTTCTTTATCCTGGCATTTGTTTTAAAGTCACATTTTTACTTGGCTCTGAGAGCAATATACTTTGAAAAGTGGCCAGTGTGGACCTGGTTTGCAGCGTGGAGAGGGAGTCCTCTTTTAATCTCAAGTGCTTAGTAATTAGGAGTTAGGAGGAAAACTGAATGACTGTTAAAATACCAAGCTTTTAGTTCTGTGGCAGCTCGGCTGCCCGTTATTGCGTTTCTATTTGACATTAACGTAGTTTGAACGTAGTTTTATCTATTGAGTCACCCTGTAAGCTTTACCCCATGTATTTTTTTTAACATATTCCTGCCCAGATGAAGAAGATCTTAGTTTGCTTGATAGAGTTCGTTTTCCTGTACTACAACCTTTTCAACTCTTTCCATCTAGGACTGGAGTTAGTAAAAGACAGTGGAATGAGATTGCCGAGAAAAGGCACCTGAGGCTCCTTTTGTGTTTCAGAAGAGTTGATTGCGCTAATACTTGGCTAATCAGCTCCTCTGCCCTGGTGGTTTGCTCCGTGGCGTTACTGTGCTCCTGGGATGGTGGTGCACACAGGGGAATGTCAGGTGTTCTTCCTGGTGCCTGTGCTTTCACTTAGAGCCGCCCTGGGTGCCCTTGTAATTCTCTGTCCTGTTTACCATTTACACACTTCCCACGTCACCATGATGTCTTTTGCAAGATTACTGAATGAAATTCCCTTAAGGCCTGAGTCCTCAGCATTGGCTCGCTTGCTCAGCAGGGCATACTGGCTCGTGCTTCCTTCCAGAAGCTAAGGGTCTTCTCTGACTGTGGTCCTGAGCTCAGATTGAACAGTAGAAATTAAATGAAGCATTTATTTTTGAAGAATTCAAATTCTGTATGTATTTTATATCCCAGCCCCTACCTCCTCTTAACACAAATTCTTTTGAGCAGGGAAAAGAATTTTATGAATCTGTTGTTCAGTGAATTTAATAAGTCACAGACCAAATTTGTGTTGTACTTTATAGCTGACCCAGCACGCCGATGCTTTTTTTCTCCTAGAGAGCCATGGCGTCTGGCAGTACTACCGCCAGTGAGGAAGAGAGGAGTCTCCGGGAATGTGAGATCTATGTCCAGAAACACAACATCCAGGCCCTGCTAAAGGACTCTATTGTGCAGCTGTGCACCGCTCGACCCGAGAGACCCATGGCATTCCTTCGGGAATACTTTGAGAGGCTGGAGAAGGTAAACATAAGTGAGGGGAGGTCTTCCATGGCCATGACAGTTGTTGTTAGGGTTAATGCTTCTGCTTGTTTGTGCCTTGTGGAGAAGAGGAATTCTGACCAAATAAGAAGCCTAATGGAAATTCAGATTAGCATGCAGTAATTTTAATCAGAATCTATCAGAAAGTGAATCGATGCCATTTGTTTGGCTTTTAAAGGGTTTCCAAACGTTTGGTTTTGACTATTTTAAATACTATTTAAAATCGACTGTAACAGTCAATCAAACGGAGTATGACAGGTGTATGAATTGAGCAATAGTTAAAAGCCGTTAGTGCTCTTCTCCAAGGAAGCAGGTGAGCTTTTATTTATCCCACCTTTAAAACTGTAGTCATACATCTGCATCTAGCTTGGGGTGGTATAATCAAAATCAATTCTGAACTCTTGTTTTACTGTTTGATAGAGAATTCACTGTATAATGGGAAGATAGGAGATTGATGGTAGCCACATTTTTACTGCGTTCATAATTTTGGTTAGTACTTGTTTGCCAGAAAATGTGCAATTGCTGTTACACCTGTATTTTGTGTGAGTCAATGTGACCCTCAGACACACAGATGTACTTATTTTTATGTGTATGAGTGTTTTGCCTGCATGAATATATGTGCACCATATGCTCGTCTGGTGCCCACAGAGGTCGGAAGACGGTGTCAGATCTCTTGGAGCTAGAGTTCTGGATGACTGTGAGCCACTGTGTGGGCTCTGGGAACTGAACCTGAGTTCCAGGTACCTACTCTCCAGCCTCCAGGATCTACATTTCTAAACAGAATTAGAATTTTGCATCTAGGATGATGCTTCTATGTACTGTCCTCAAGAAATGATGAGTGCAAAAGTTTGCTTCACCCAGTGTGTTAAGTAGTGAATATGATTTGCTTCTGTAAATCATTGGAGGTTCAGACTGCTGGGGCTCATCTCTCTGATAACAAGTTTAGTACCTAATTTTACAGTAGAAATAGCTGTAAAATATGTATATTCATATTTGTTTGGGCAGTTTCTTACTATCCAAGTGTTTACATGAAAGAATATGTATATGAAGATTCTAAAACAGTATTTGAGTATCAGTAAGCAGGTATTTTACACTGTTTCTTTGGAAACCTTTAAACTGTTGGTGATTAGAATGATTAGACTAACTAGAAGAAAAGAAAACTGCTAAATAGTCTTGCCACCTTGGATCTGTAGTAGAAACGCTGGCTTTATCTTACTTAAGCAATCGCTAAATAATGGACATACTCTGTTTTGAAATCAAGCATGTTCCTGGAGATCTGGTCTGAAATGGGTCACGGTAAGGCGATCCCTGTTCTTTGGCCATCAGTAGAAATCAAATGAGAGGATTAAGTTGGTGAGACATTAAGTGCCTATCTTTTTATAGGGAGTGTTGAGTGTGAGACACCAATGTCAAAGCCTGTATTTACCACAGGAGTGTTTAAGGACTAGCGAACGTGGAAAGCAACAAATAATCGTTATTGTAGTTTCTCCGAGGGTGAGAGTTTAGAATTAATGTTCACAGACCTCCCTTGTCCCCCCAGAAAAAGTTGCATAATAAAATGCCTTTCTTGTATGTTGAGGTTCTTTGTTGACTTGCTGGAGTTGAATATATGTAATATTCCACTTGGATTTTTAGTTAGCTAGATTTTTGCCCTTTAAACAAAGCCATCATTTCATATGTTGTGTGTTAATTTTTACGTCAGAAAATAAATTCACATTGTTACCATCTCCTTCCCCGTTAACTAGGGGTTGTATTTCTGGAACTTTCAATGACCTCAGAAGAAGCACACAAAAAGAATAGAGTTGGTCAATGGAGACAGCTACATTTTAGTTCAGACCATTGTACCTGGAACTTGAGTCCTCTTACGCCTGTATTTACCAGGACCTTGCCTGTCTGGTGGATAAGAAAAGAGTTGTATCTACTACTGTTGTGTGTCTCCTGTGTGCTAAATACAGTGTGAAGCAACATATTCTCTCTCTCTCTCTCTCTCTCTCTCTCTCTCTCTCTCTCTCTCTCTCTCTCTCTCTCTCTCTCATACTCTCTCATACTCTCCTATCTCTTTTCCATTACTTCAGATGTGGAAGGTAGGGTATTGATACCATATTGCTGAGGCAGCAATTGAATCTAAAGGAAGTTAAATCATAGCTGTTATCCCAGGAGTTAGGTTTTGCAGCAATAACATGTAACCCTGGAATTTCAGTGTATTTCTTGGTCATGTGCCTGTCTTGTCTTCATGTGTCTCGTTCTGCATCTTCGTGGAAAGAGCAGTCATTATCTAGAGCTTGTTGATCTCAGAGAAAGAACAAATCCAAGGCCACTAGAGGCAGACCACAATAGTGTTTGGTATGACGAGTCCACTTAACATTCTGTGGCCCAAGCAAGTCATGTGCCCAAGCCTCACGTCATTGGTGTGGGAAGCTTGTCTACAAAGGAGGATGACAAGGGCAGGGGAGAAACAGAATCTGAACCTAAGAGTTGAGAGTTTTAAGCTCAGTTTAGTGCAGAGCATATGCAGAGGAGTCAGTATTATTACTAGCTAGCAAATAGATTCAGAGCTAAGAGGGAGACTCACAGCTGACTGACAGTAGCAGAGTACGGATATAAAAATGTGTCTTTGCACTAGAGGTTGGTGATCTCAGTCATGTTTCTGAGTCATTGAGATTAGGTTATATTCAGATTGCTGTTTCATAGATTCACTGGAATCCACAAGACTTAAAAATCAGAATGTTTTTGTTAACTTCAGAATTACCTTTAAAATTTGGTTAACTAGAATACAGTTTCAAATTATCCTTTATTTGTGAGGTGTGTTGTGTGTGTTTGTGTGTGTGGTGCATGTTGGTGGGTGCACACGTATATGCATGCATGTAGAGGTCAGAGATTGCTGTCAGGTGCTCTCTATCTTTTGGAGCAGGATCGCTCACTGAATTTGGAGTTCACTCATTGGTTAGCTGTCTAGACTGGCTGATCCAAATACTAAAGGGACTGTCCGTCTGCTAAGATGTGTGTACCCACACTCAGCTTTTGCTTGGGTTCTGGGGGTCTGAACTCAGGTCCTCTTGCTGGAGTGGTAGGCCCTTTACCAACCGAGCCGTCTCCCCAGCCCCTCATTTGTGAATTTTTAAATGGAAATTTTCTGAAATGGCAATGAATAGTTTGAGGGGTAGAATATTTTTTTTAATGCTTTTGCACTTTGAACTTAGGTGAGTTTTGTAGTTCTGTGTTAATATGGAATAGAAGGGTCTTAATAGTTACTAGGACTACCTGAATGAAATGAGTGAATTTTCTAAAATACACAAAGTTTTAAATGAGTCATAGACTGAAATTGTGCCAATATAAAAGGGTTTATGCATGTAGCCGTGTTCTGGAGGTAGTCTGTGGGCGTTTACAGATACATTCATTTTTAAGAGTTTATTTTTTTTCCTTGTGTGTATGTGTTTATATGTGTTCATGTAGGTTAGTGTGTGGAGGACAGAAGACATTCCTTATTAGCCACCCACCTTGTATTTTTGAGACAGGTCTCACCTCGGCCTGGATCTTCAGTGAGATGATACTGTTGCCTCCCTAGTGCTGGGGTTACAAGTTTGTTTTCAAGTGGATGTAGAGGGTGGAACTCAGGTCCTCAAGTTTGTGCAAGCACTTTACTGCTGGAGCTGACTCACTGGCTAACACAGGGGTGATACCCTGTTGTAGGAGTACAGTGTAACCATTGTTACTGATCTTCATTTTGGTTGTTTCCAATATTTTATTTTGAAAAAAAATTAAAAACCCCAGAAAACTAAGCAAAAGAAAGGTTGCTGTATTGATGTCATTTCACACATAATCTTATTTAAGATTTCTAGAGGCAGGATTACTAACTAGACTACAAAGTTAAGGAGTAAATGTGCTTACAGTTAAATACACACGTGGATATGCAGTGAGTTTTGTTTTTCTTGTTGTGTTTTTTTCTCCCTGGGTTGATAACTTCACTCTGAAGAACTAGAAGGCCTTCTTGATTACAGTACACTAGTAGACAGGAACTCTGTTATTCCCCTTGGTAGTCACACTTTCTACCTTCTTTTGAGATGTGGAGAGTCCTTGAATTGATCTGTTTGCAAGAGGCAGGGCTACACTATATAGGAGATAAGACATGAGTATTTTAATTTTTTGTTTGTTTGTTTGTTTTTGGTCACTTTTATTCTAAATAATTTGCATACTGCTGAGTTAATTTGAATTTGAAAGATGTTTTGAAGAGCCAAAGAATGGTTGAAATGAGTGAAGAAATAGAAGATAACATTCTTATTTTATTCCCTTCAGGCCCAGGAATTTTTTTAGTGAGAGGTTGAATAGATAAGAAATCCTTGATGTCACTTTTCATGTGACTTGGCTCAAGAAGCTCTGATGGCATTGCCACTAATAAAGTGTGCTGTACCACCCTGAGTACCTATGATTTTTCTAGGATTTTATTTTGTTGTGTACCCCCCCCCCCCAATTTGGAACTGATTTGTTCTCCTTATGTTGGCATTGGAATAGGTTTGAAGTGAGCTGAACTGTCACTGGAATTTGAGAGTAACTTTCAGATTCTGAAAAAGAACTTTCTTTCAGGAGGAGGCAAAACAGATTCAGTGTCAACAGAAAAGCGGCGCTCGTACCGACTCCAGGGAGGACGAAATCTCTCCTCCTCCTCCCAACCCAGTGGTGAAGGGCCGGAGGCGCCGCGGTGCTATCAGTGCTGAAGTTTACACGGAGGAGGATGCTGCGTCCTACGTTAGGAAGGTAGTTTTGATGTCCAAGTGTCGGGAAGTGTTTCTGAGGCTCACCTTGTAGCCAGCTGTATTCCTTTGATGGGCACATGTTCTATTTCAAAGAAAGGCAAAGGCTCACTTGTTAGCCTTGATAACTGACGTATTAGCTCCTCGAGAGAAAGTAGTGCTTATAAACCAGTAATTAATTGCATTTAGGCCTTATTGGTTTGCATGTTCTTGTGCAGCAGCATTCCTTTTTATCATAGTTGACAGCTGTCAGCCTCTTGACACCATATAATTCATGTTTTGTTTTTTAATCTTTTTGATTTTTCAAGACAGGACTTTTCTATATAGCCCTGGCCATGCTGGAACTCTCTCTGTAGACCAGGATGGCCTGGAACTCAAAAAAGATCCACCTGCCTCTGCCTCCCCAAGTGCTCGGATTAAAGATATGGGTCACCTGGCTTGACTTTTTTTTTGGGGGGTCTTTTTTTAAATTTCAAGCTCGCTTCACATGTCAATCCCAGCTCCCTCTCCCTCCCCTCCGCCCCCACCAGCTCGCCCTGGCCCCCACCTAATCCTCACTCCATTCCCCAGGGAGGGTGAGACCGTCCATGGGGGATCCCTAGATTCTGCCGTTTTGTCCAGGGTAGGGCCCAGGTCCTTCCCCAAGAGATCAGGCTGAGAGAACATCCCTCACTGTGGGAGGGGCACCCAATGTCTATCTGTATGCCTGGAACAAGCACTAATCCACTGCCCAAGGCCCCAGAGATTGTCCAGGCCTCCTTGATGACACCCACATTCAGGGGGTCTGGATCAGTCCCATGCTGGTCTCCCAGCCATCCAGCGGGGGCCCAAGAGCTCCCCCTTGTTCAGGTCAGCTTTTTCTGTGGGTTTCACCAGCCCAGTCTTGACCCCTTTAGGGTCACGACCTGGTTTGGCTGTTAATCTTTATCCTACAAGTTGCATTCATCCTGGTCCAGTCTTCCTCAGAGCCTGCTAACATAGAGTTAGGTTTAACTTATGGGGGAAATAGGCCCCAGGCACTTGATGCTTGTGAACTGAACAATACTGTATGATCACAGTTTGCAAAATGACTGTTAAAAAAATGCTTAGCTTTGCCTCCGAGTGATGATCTTGGTCTAGGTGTTTTGGGTTTACTTGTTAACTTGGAATCGAGTACTGACGTTTGAGTGTAAGCTTAGCTCTAGGCAAGGGGGATTAATCAGTATTTGTTGAGGACTTTGTGAATCATACAGGTGTATGTAGTGAAAATATTTAACTCAAAATAGCTTTGTTTAAATACCATTATGTGGCATGGCATTTAATTGAAATGCAAGATGCAAACATGAAATGTCTTTGGTTTCTCAGTTGTCATTTGGCCTTTAATATTTTTCTAGGTTATACCCAAAGATTATAAGACAATGGCTGCTTTAGCCAAAGCCATCGAAAAGAATGTGCTGTTTTCACACCTTGATGATAATGAAAGAAGGTAGGTGCAGGTACTTTTTACGGTTTCTCCAATGAGGTTGTGGCGCCAAACTTTAGTTACTATTGCAAGTTCTAGACTCTTAGTTGTGTACCAAGTGACACAGCAGAATCTGAGAGCTTTAATGCTAAGGTTGTTTGAAATCTGAAGAAGAGACCTGCAAAGTCTAACCCAGGCCTCCTCTGTCCTGCAGTGACATTTTTGATGCCATGTTCCCAGTCTCCTTTATTGCTGGAGAGACGGTTATTCAGCAAGGTAAGGGCTGCTGTGTGTGTGCATTGTGGTTATAGGAAGGGAGGTGAGATGAGTGTGCTTTTAAAAACTTTATTGGAGTCTGTTTGTAGGTCTTAGTATTTTCTTCTTTTTTAAACAGTTCTCTAAGTTAAAAGGAACACTTTCTCTATGGGATTAGTATTTTTGGTAACTTTACCATTGAAGGGAATGCCTATGTTGTCATTGGATATTGTATAGCATTTCAGAACCATAAGTCACATGTCCTTTTTATTGATTTTAAGATCAGATAAACAAGCAAAACCAACCCACATTTTTGCATCATATAGCCCATCTGTTATTTGGTTCTGTGCCTCATTTAGAATTTAACCATTTTTGCCCATGTAGACTAACATGAATCTTCATAAAGTCAAATATTTCCCTATTTTATGGCAGCCTAGCCTTTTGTTATTAACTGTTGAGTTTTTGTTGTGTTTGCACATTCCATAGCAGTTAACTTTCTATATGTAAGTGCCTTAACATTTTTAAGATTACGCCTTACTGACTTGTTTTGTGTATATGTGTGCGCACATGTGCATGTGTGTGCTGCAGCACTGGTTTGTGGAGTTGGGAAGACACCTTGCAGGGATTGGTTTCTGCTTCCTCCACGTGGGCCCCAGAAATCAAACTCGGCTTGTCAGACTTGGCAGTAGGGTTTACACACTGAATTGTCTCATGGGTCCCATAAGTGGCTTTATTAAAGTACAGTTTTAAAAGATACTGTGAGATGACCAGAAGGAATGATTAATGTCATGTCAGTCTTTTGAAAAAACCTTGCTCATTTTTCTCTAGTTCAGTCATTTAGCATCTACCCACGAGTTTGCTCTCTTATGTTAATTTGATTGTTTTGTTAATGATCTGACTTTCTACTGTCTACCAGGTGATGAAGGGGATAACTTCTACGTGATTGATCAAGGAGAAATGGATGTAAGATTTAATAATAGCAAAAATGTGTTGATAATCTTGACTTTAACTTTTAATTTCTAAGCAATAAGCATAGTGTTTACAAGGGCAGATGATGATAGCCTAGATAAGTCAATTCCCTTAACATTTGCCACGTATTTTCATGACGCAAACTTTTTAAAGGTGGCTTGCCTACCTATACACACTGTTCACTACTTTCACTGGGGTACCAGTTGGAAAATGCGTGTATTCTATGGTGTAAGAGAGCTCAGGGCTCCACTAAGGAATAGTGCAGCTTTTAAAATTTGTTTTGTTTTGTTTTTTTTTTTAAGCAGTGAAATGAGGATAAAAATCACCTCAGTCTCTTAGGATTATTCAGTGACACATAAAGCGCCCAGCACAGCATTCTGTAAATGTATGTCATTCAATATTAACGCCTGTCTGAACATTTGTTCTCAGTGTCCCGCTAGGGCACCTTTATCAGAGCATGTAGCCTGCCAATTGCCAGTGGTTTTGCTCTGCTCTGTTCTGCAGATGTAGTGTGTATGCTGAAACAGGTTCAGAATTCTTCCTTTGGAAAGTCTGAGGATTTGCACAGTTGTATATGTAGATAGAAACGCTTCTTTGATGTCATTTTTATTTTAGGTTTATGTCAATAATGAATGGGCAACCAGTGTTGGGGAAGGAGGGAGCTTTGGAGAGCTGGCTTTGATTTATGGAACACCTAGAGCAGCCACTGTTAAAGCGAAGACAAATGTGAAGCTGTGGGGCATCGACCGAGACAGCTACCGGAGAATCCTCATGGTAATAGGCTATGGGTTTTTAGCATGTGCTTTAGAATTCCGATCCTCACTGTTATCACTTAATGGTTTGAATAGTTTGCATTAGGTTCGGGTTAATATTATATTGCTTGAGATAGGGTTAGTACAACACAAGTTAGGTCAGGAGTAACCAGAGAAATGTGTGTAGATGGGGGTCGGCTCATCTTAACGGTCTGTCTGCTAGTGGGTGAGTCTTACTTAATCTCACCCACTGTAGATTGCCCACGGGATTGGTTTTAAGTGCATACAGTCATTCAAAGCCATCCAGAAGTAATCATCTTCTCTCAACTGAAACGGGGGTATCATGATAAACTCATGCTGCCTTCTTAGAGGAATTATCAAAGCAATAAGACCATGGAGGCATTCTGCTCACAGTGAGACTCCTTGAGAAACTGTGATAATCTTACAGAGGAGCTTTAGGGGTTTTTAGCCCAGTGAAGAGTCCTAACCATCCTGAATGGTTTGTTTACGTTTTTCTGGTGTCCATAGGCTGCTGGAAGAGGCATAGTCTGGGGCTGCAGAGATTTAAGAGTGTACTGTTGTTGCAGCAGGCCCAAGTTTGATTTCATACACCAGGCAGCTCACCACCACCTGTAACTCCAGCTCCAGGGGCTCTGATGCCCTCTTATAGACTGCATAGGCACTGCACTCATGTGCACAAACCGTCTTACATGCTTTGACGTTTTTGTGGATTTCTTTTTTGTTTAAAGTAATATTTTTACTTACTCCTTGACAATTTCACACCCCTGGATCTGAGACAGAGGGAATCTTGTCCCTCTCTCACCTCTGTGAACCTGTGTGTACATATGTATATATATCCTGCCGAGTTTCTTTAGTGCTGCTTGAATTCACAGTGGTGCATGGGCAGCCTTCCAGCAGCCACACCCCTGAGGAAAAATGTCTCTTCCTCCCTTGGCTACTGTCTGTTTTCGTTAGCTCCTTAGTTGCAGTTTGTTTTTTGTTTTCTGGTTTTCTATTCTGTGTGCACCAAAATTCATGAATGTTCAAGTCCCTTGTCTAAAATGACATAGTGTTTGCACATAACCTGTGTACATATTCTGTATTCTCTAAACATTACTAGCTTAGCTGCAATATTGAAAGCATAGTAAACATTGTTTAATAGATTGTCCATACACTCTGTAGGAAACAAGAAGAAAGTCTGTATGTTGAACAAGTATGTTACACCCCCCCATAAACATTTCTGTGTGTAATTGACTGCAGATGTGGAACCTGTGTCTATGTAGGACAGATGGTGTGTGTAAAATGCACACGTGTGTACATATACACTTCCACAGGTAGATGTAGTAGTACTGGGGTGGGCCTGTCCTCACTGTAACTGGCAGTAGTCTGTTCTCTGCTCACAGCTTGTGGGGAAGGAGATAGTCAGCTACACTGTTGAAGTCTCAAGCTCATTCATGCATTAGCCGCTTAGTTGCTTTTTAGAGAGCTGCTTGGCATTTCTCTATTTGCTAGAACTGTGTCCTCCCTTGGGCTGCACACCTGCTCTTGAGGGTCCTAACAGAGCTGCATAGTAGTAGCTCACACTTAAGTTCAAAGAAAAATGGTTAGGAGTCAGGCAACAGCAGCAGGCTTTGTATTTATTCCTGTTTTTCAGTTTAAAGTGTAAATTAAATTATTCTGTAGCATTGTGTGATAATTATATCTCTTTTTAATAGGGAAGCACTCTGAGAAAGAGGAAGATGTATGAAGAATTCCTTACTAAAGTGTCTATTTTAGGTGAGTTTTGTAAAATTGTATGAAGAACTGATAAATTAGAGCATTTGTGATACTTGGCATAACTTTTCACATGACATAAGTCTCCTGGCTCATTTATTTGTGTTTTCATACATGTTATTGCTTACTTTTGCCAATCATGGTCATACAAAATTTTGACAGTGTTGAAAGTTTGGCAAAGTTCGTAGTAATTTTAACATGTATTCGTTTAATTTGCTAATACATGACAGACCCTGTAATTAGCCTTGGGAAAAGCCTTCTGGCAGTGTAGATGCTGCTTGTTCCTCTTACAGGAGCAGGGAGCTCTCTCTCAGTGTCCTAAACATGCTGGGGACATTACATTTATCCCTGTTGGTCGTACACATGGGTTTTGTCTGAGAAAAGTTAGATATCTTCGTTGGCCTCTTTTGAAAAGATTCAGACCTGTTGAAATTTAAAGTGAGCAGATTAATTGGACATTCTTCTATAGATTTCCTTACATAGATTGGGAGATGTTAAAACTGTGTGGGGTATGGGTAGTCATTTTTCCCAGGTGACAGTCTGCTGTTTTGTTACAGTGATTTGACTTTCTTGCCTTATTTGTCTTTTGTGCTAGTGTTTTTGAACATTAGTTGGGTCTGTGGGAACAAAAGTTCCTTTCTAGCTCCTTGTTATTCCAAGGTATATTGAGTTGAGGGGTTAAATGGAGAGCCTTGTTATTCCAAGGTATATTGAGTTGAGGGGTTAAATGGAGAGCCTTGGGACTAGTGTGAGGGAAAGCTATTACTTTGGTTTGCTTTACTTGCTGCTGATGTTCAGAATTGCATTTTCTTAGCCCTTTGCCATGAGATGCAGTTGATATAAGTAAGCAGAGTTAAAGAAGGCTCTGAGGACTGTCTGCAGTCATAGGCAAGTCCTGCTGAGACCAGCAGCAACTGAAGACAGGTGCTGTCGCCATGTACCTAGAAGTCTTGCTGGGATGTTGCATCGAGATGCTGTTTGGTTGTCTGTAATTTGACTTTGCTTACGTTTTAATATTTTTCAGCAATACCAAATCCATAGAGAAAGCCTTTGGATTCTTATCTTTCAGAGTCTCTGGACAAGTGGGAGCGTCTCACAGTGGCTGATGCATTGGAGCCTGTCCAGTTTGAAGATGGACAGAAGATCGTGGTGCAGGGAGAACCAGGGGACGAGTTCTTCATTATTTTAGAGGTCAAGAATTCTGCATTTGACTCCCGTTATAGAGTTGTTCACCTAGAGGGGGTGCAGCTGATCTGATTTGTAGCTTTAGTTTTAGGGTTACCTGACAATTTTATTTAAAAATTATCTTCAGAATACAGCTTTGCGTGTAGACTGCTACAGTTTTAAAAGAATTTGAATCAGAATTCTGGAAGGACACTATACGTGATTGGTGATATTACCATTCTTGAAAACCCCTCAACTGTAATATGATATGATTGCTTAGTCTATTGGGTGATGAATTACAATTCTAAAAGTTACTATCTTATCTGAAACGTCCACCTATAATCCTGCTTGCTAAGCAGGTCCAATGGCATCTTCAGAGACTGAACCCGTCCCACTGCAAATTCAGCCATAGAAATGTGAACTCTGAATGCGATAGTCTTACTAACATTTTAGAAAGACGAAGCAAGCTTGGACTTTACATGAAGGTTACTAACCTGACTCTAAACTCCTTTTTAAGTGCTTGAGCTTGGTGAGAACCTGGGTAGCGGGATGCAGGTTAAATGGAGGTCATAGGGCATATGGGGTGGAATGGGAGGGTGGTGGTGACTTGACTTCTCCGTCACCTTTGAGTTGAAATAACTGCGGAGTCCTTCCTTACCCTCTGTAGGTTATAGGGATCTTTCAGTTTCCCTCTGGGTTAGGAAGCATCCATTTAGCTTCATGCTGGTATTCTTACAGGGCACGGCTGCTGTGCTGCAGCGTCGGTCAGAAAACGAAGAGTTTGTTGAAGTGGGACGGCTGGGGCCTTCTGATTATTTCGGTATGTTGAATTTCTTGACAACAGATACATGGTTTAAGTATCTTTTAGTGTAGTTTTCCATAATTGGTCTTCTAATTTTTTTTTCATTTATTTACTTATTTTTGAGGTATAGTCTGGCCTGGAACTCACCCTGTAGACTAGGCTTCCCCATGGGATTTAATGTATGCACTTCCATGCCCTGCCTTTTTTTGTTTTTGAGATAAGGCCTCAGATTGGCCCTCTTCAGATCTGCTGCCTTAGCCTCCTAAGTGTTGGGATTATAGTCATGATGCCTGACTATATTTCTTAACTCTCTCTCTCTCATATATATGTATGTATGTATGTGTGTGTGTATGTGTGTATGTGTGTATGTATATATATGTATATATACGTATATATATATACATATATATATATATAAGATTGCACTTTACTCAGTTAATAGATGGACATGGGGACCCATAAACACACACCTGTGTCTCATGTGACCTTGACTGCCTGCAATTCATTGTATAGTGAGGCTAGCTTCTAACTACTAGTCATCCTTCTGTCTGCTTCATCCCTTGAGTGTTGAATTGTAGGCATGAATGACCAACTATAGGGACTTTATTAGTTTGCAGTATTTTTTAACATGCAGTTGTTGTGTGGCCTCTACTGAGTTAGTAGAAAAGTACATCTTTGCTCTCTTTCTCAGAAGTGGGCCCTTAAGGAAATGACTTGTGTAGTATTAGTTGTCAGTCTGCTCTTAGTCGTTGCTCTTCTCTTTTCCAGGTGAAATTGCCCTGTTGATGAATCGTCCTCGGGCCGCCACAGTGGTTGCGCGTGGCCCTTTGAAGTGTGTTAAGCTGGACCGCCCCCGGTTTGAACGTGTCCTTGGCCCATGCTCTGATATCCTCAAGCGAAACATCCAGCAGTACAACAGCTTTGTGTCTCTGTCCGTCTGAGATCTGCCTCCTGTGCCTCTCTTCTCCCCAGTCCATGCTTCACTCATGCAGACTGCTCTCTCCCTATCTGCAGCGCCACGTGGCCACTGGCTTCACAGCTTCTTGTCTCTTTATACTAAAAGCTGCTTTATTGCACCATTTTTTTTCATTTGGAGCATTGACTGGATGCTCAACCACAAATAAATAGAGAGTTCTATGGACTTGGCTGTTACCGCTTCTCTCTGTGCAGTGCTAGTGTTCAACCTGGGCAGCAAGTGCCATACTTTTTGGTGAGGGCGGTCCTGCACCAGTGAATTACTGTAATGATGTAATAACAGTGCAGGGGGTTTTAAGTGACACAGATTTCCATTTCCATATGACACAAGTGACATATTTAGACTGTGGCCATGTTTGCCGTATTTCTTTATAGAATAAATGATTTTAACTTTTAAGGATTAGAAGAATGGATATAGAAAAATTCTAGTACAGTAGAAAGAGATCTGCTTGTAATTCAGCTAGTTTAAGTGTGGGAAATGCCCATGTTTTGCTAATTACCAGACAGATACAACTAGTTCAGCCCCCTCAGCCTGGTTTTGTTTGTACATTGCTAGTGTTTCTTCTCCAACCCTGAATTATTTTGGTGTGGCTATCTATATCTGCCTTTTAAGTTTGAAATCAAGTTGTAGATGGCCAGTACTGGGTGGTGACTTAATTAACATCTGTCTCAGCTCACAGGTTCTAATGATAACTAATCCAGCTGGTGCCAAATACTGATCAGGAGATGCAGAACTGTGAGTGAGAATTTGAGGTCTGCACTTTGTTAACTGCCGTTAACTAGTGTGATCTGCCCTCGGTTATTGATTCTAGGAGATTGGGTTTACGGAGAATAGACAGAGACAGAACAAGCTCCAAAGAAGGAAATGGAGGCAGTGTTGCTGAAGGTGGTTGGGGTCTGGTGTCCAGAGACAGGAAGCTTTGTTCTTCAGTTGTCTCTTCCCGGTTTATGTTAGCGAGGGTGGATAGGATGTGGTCTGAAAGGCCATCCTGCTGAAAGTCCTACCTTTTCCTGTCTAACCTTGAATTTCTCTGGTAAACTTTATTGATTTCTGTTTGTGTGTGTGTTTATGTTTCTTTTCTTTTTCTTTTTTTTTTTTTAGTAAATTTGTGTTTGAGTCTTAACTGTATTTCAGTATTTTCCAGCCTTATGTGTTATTATTCCAATGATGACCCAACAGTTTATTTTTATTACTGTTATTTTTTAAACAAAATTTCACAGTTCCTAACTAGGCATGTTGTGGTTTATGTACAATGTAAGGTTCTATTTGGGAGTGCCTGCAAGCATTTTCCATGTGTGTGTAAGTGGTTCTGATTAATAATCTCCTCCTACCCTTTCCCAGTTAACTTCAATTGGTTATGACAGATTTTTTTTCTTGATGGGTTGAAATGCTTTTAGGTTGTTACTAACTTGGGAAAGGAATTTCATTTAGGTTTTAGTGTGGGGTAGAAAGCTACCTTGTTGCTATTTCTAAAACTCCCATAATCTATATTAAATGAGGGTTTTCTGTACTTTGTGTTTGGCTATCTTTTTTATATTTAAAAAATAAAAATTATGTTATTAGATTAAAGCTTAATTTGATATTTGTTTAAATGCCAAAAATGTACTTACGTGAATGATGTAGAATGCCACAAGATGCATTTTTGTGTGTATATATCCCTTTGTTGTTGTATACTGAGGTACACGCTCTGCTTTCCAGAGAGCTCTACTCAATGCTAGCTTGCTGGTTACTTCCTTTTGTAGGTTTTACTCTTAGACTTCTCAAGTCTAAATTTAAAAATTACCACATTTCAAGCTTTATCTTTGTGCAATTTAAATATCAGTCAGAAGTTATGGTTGGCATACTGTGTCTTTGTGGACTCTAGGCACCATCATCTCTGGATGGGTGGATGAATTCAGATCTACTGAGAAAGTGGAGATGGCCAAAGGGACAGTTGCTGTTTCCTGGATACTAGTTTGATATACCGTGTGCTAACCTAATACATGCTCTTCTTTTGTTACAGACTGTCTCAATGGTAGGTCACAGAATAAAAAAGATTAAATAATTTAAATTCTTAAATGAATCAGTTTTCTTCCTTTTCTCCTTTTCTTCCTCTGTCCTTCCCCAAAAGTTCAGTGGGCAAGAGTGAATGTGAATTTTGGCATTAGTGTTTTGAAAAAAGTAATGTATTTATTTTTAATACATTCCAGTTCAGTTTGTCAAAGGGTGAGTCTCAGAGTCTTGTTAAAATGCTCGTGGAAGGATGACTGTCTAAAGCCCTGGTTTCCTTTTCACAAGACCAGTGCGCCATGTCACTTCACACAACTTGCTGGGAAGCTTGGTTTCTGCATCAGAGGAGTTTGGTTTATACTTAGCTACTTAGAGATGTGCTTCTCTTGCACATATCAAGCCTTGTTTCTAATGTTCACTCCTCAAGTTTGAGGAGTGGGCTAATGAGTTACTCAGTGTATTGATAACTGGGCTCTTCACTAGCAGGAAGTCAGCATTAGTCTGCGTTCTGCTATGTAAGGTGTACTTTGTATAGGTTCAGAATTGAGTAACTGAAGAAAGTTGGGGTCTGTTGTCTTTAGAATAGTCTAGTCTGCCTTTTAAGACTTGGCCCATGAGGCATTCCCTGCTGCGCTAACACATTAAAATGGAAGTAGCACAGTGGCAAGGGTGTTTGGTTTTGTTTCGTTTGTTATGTTGTATCACTTAGTGCCAACCATAAGTGGTTGGACCCTTTGCAATATTTAGTTAAACTCTGGCAGTGTGTTCTCAGGTAAACCAAAACTTGTTAGAAATAGTGACTAATGTCTATCAAGGGGAACCACAAAATCTCTCCCTTGTTACATTTTGGGATCTTTCCATAGGAACCATCATTTTTGCGTACATACACCGCTAAGATTTGTTTCATGACATAACTTTAGAGCTGTGACTTCATTGTGACTTGCTGTAACTAAAACCATCTATGGGCGTCATCATTTTTTGTTTGTTTCATATTAAGAACTAGTTTAAGTAGCTTTGCAATTTTAAAAAGTTGCCACTAGGTGGAGAGCTTTTTCTTTAGTTCCAGTTTGTAAACCCCGAATGAGTTTCAGCCCTTCCTTAGTGTGTGGCTTCTGTATTTTCAAGTTTTCCTACTTGGTACAATTAGCGTGAGCCGAGAGTGCTACAGGACCCGCGGTACTCTTGGATGTCTGGAGCTGAGCAGTGGAGTGTTGCTTCTCCAGTGCACTTCTCACCCGATGCTGAAAGAGGTCCGTAGCCTGGTTTTAGCTATCAGTTGTGAATGGGTCATTTTGGGGGGACTTCCCAGCACCACATTTTTGGTGTGTTTTCATGCAAGTTGATGGGTGCACTCACCGTATAAAAGGTCCCTAAGGATAGTGCTCAAGTACCGGCTCGTGTTCCTGAGTGTGAGAAACCGTTTCACACTGTGAAAGTGTGTGTCATAGTGTCAAAGAACCAGCAGTGCAACATGATGCATCTTCACACCAGATGAGATTATGTAGTAACGGGTTGGCGGCATTGCACTAGAGACCCCTGGGGACCTGGCTTGGTAGTTCTCATAGGGGCAGTGAGAATCCATCTGCCAGTTGCGAGGCTAGGGGTTTATAGGACAGAAGCGCTGCATGGGAGAGTTGGTTCATCCTTAGGTCTAAACTGTCCTTAGTTGAGAATGCTGTGGCATACCCTCCAGACTGCTCAACGGTAACATGGAAAGTTTTCACATAGACTCAATACTTTTTCATGGGAAGTTGAGCAATGATTCAGCGTGAGCAAGCCTCGAGAACTTGATACCTCTCAGAATGGAATGTTTTTGTTTTCTGGTATTTTTGAAAAATGCTGGTCTTAGGGTTTTTTTTTTTGTTAGATAGAATTTTAAAAGTAAAGTCTGTGTAGTTATTCAACACTATCTAACATATGATCAAATTAAATTACTTTGGTTTTGAAAAGTATATCAGAAATTTTATTCTAGAATCTTCAGAAACTGGTCTGGTCTGCATCGAGGGAGGCTGGGTTGGAGGAGGACTGCAACTCACCCGACTGGTTGAAAGTCTTATACTTTGTTTTCAGCATAGGCTTTCCCTCCCTCATTCCTCAGTGGCTTCCTAGTGTTTCCTCCTCAGGGGAGAGTAGGAGAAACAGCTGATGATGTGAGAAGCCTTGCCTTGGGACTGGAAAAATGGCTCAGTGGTTAAGAGCACTGGCTGCTTTTCCAAAGGTCTTGAGTTCAATTCCTAGCAACCATGTGGTGCCTCACAACCATCCATAATGAGATCTGGTGCCCTCTTCATACATGCAGGCATACATGAGGCAGCACACTGTATATATAATAAGTAAATACATCTTAAAAAAAAGCTGTACCTCATGAAAGGGCCGCCCTGCATGGGAGAGTCTTCAGCACTAAGATTCCTTGGTTAAAGAGCCGATTTTTACCTTTTTTTCTTTCTGTTGTCCAGACCAGCTTTCAGCTTTACACTTTTGTCTCAGTCCCTCATGGGCTGGGATTTGCTGGCATGAGTCTTTATTGCTAACAGATTTATCTTCACAAACTTCACTTTGTAATAGGTCTAAACCACAAAATGATACGATTCTAATCTTTTGAGAGCCTTAGTTCTCTTCCTTGCACATTGGAAGTAGGGGGTTATGTATATTCAGGAGGGTTGCAAGCCTATGTGTTGACTTTCAGGCTGGTAAAGTGTCTGGGGCATGGCAAGGCTTTAGGGTGAATAGAAGCAAGGTTATTGAGCAAACTGGGTTTAGGGATTTTGTGTCCATAATGTGGGGTGCTAGGGTGAGTCAGGACTATCCATTGCAAGATAAGCATGGTGACTCATGCCTGTAATCTAGGCACTTGGGAGTTCCAGGCTAACCCTCAAGTCAGAAGGTGAAAACAGCACCACTATTGTTGTTTGTCCTGCCTGTCTTTGGATGTACGCAGAAGTCTGTGGTGACATTTCTGATTCTTGACTTTGTCCCTCTTAGTGGTGCCTTTTCCTTCTTCCCTCATACTTTTTATCCTCTGGCTTTCATCAGAAGATAAAGTGATCTGCTGAAGCCATTTATTTTTACTTGACTCTCCGCCCATGCATTCCTAACTTGCTGCCAGTTTCCCCTGTGTCTGATTGTTAGTTTTGACTTACATAGTGTTATTTCCTCACACAGCCTAGGCTAGCCTTGAACTCACTGTGGAGCTGGGAATGTCTTTGAATTTCTGACCCTCCTGAGTGCTGGCATTGCAAGCATTGCCAGCATGCCTGGTTTTATGTGGTACTGGGGTTTGAACCCAGGGCTCTGCATCTGCTAGGCAAACACTCAACCAGCTGTGAGCCACACAGCTCCTCAGTTGATAGATAGTCCTCTTCAGTCTGAAGTGCCCTTTTCTGAGCAAATTTACCTTCATTTGTTATTTCTAAGAAGTTACTGGAGAGTGACTTGGTGGGGGTTAATTGTATTCAAATAATGTTAGGGTAGGAATGTCAGTATAAAGTTTTTTTTTGCATCAACTTGAGATTTATAGATTTTAGGTCTGTTTGGGGGATGAGATTTTTCTTTTTTTAATGTGGACCAGGCAGTATACTGTACCTGTATCTATAGTAAGGACTTGGAGGAAGCCAGTTATCCATTTGATGTCCCTGTATTTGACATGGTAGAGTAAAAACTTCCCGGGAACAGGGCCTCCACGCCTTCCAAGCCTGTCCCAGATCCAGGTTTCACAGTGTGCTCAGAAGACAGTCTGCAACCGTGATGGAGCCAGAGCTTGCTAGGAAGACGGCCCCAGCCAGTGCACTGTAAAAGCAGTGACCTCCATCCAAGGGTAAAGATAAGGCTTGGTGGATCCCACTTGCTTCTTCAAAGCGTTCCTGCCTTCTCCCTGAGCTCATGACTTGGCCTCCAACACCCCAGGGTGGAATGGGGCTGCAGGGGCCTACACACAAGTGCCCACAGCTGGTCCCAGTTGTGTGTGCTGAGGTTTCTTGTAGCTAGCTTGTCAGATTCGCCTGGCCAGAGTCTGGAGCCGACTGTTGTGCCGGGCCATCAGCTATGACTCTCCCTTCCCCACGGGCCTCTATGCAGTCCTCTACTGTCTTCAGGATGATGTGGAGTCTGCGGTCCAGGGCCAGGAGGTGGGGTTCTGTGAGGACAGGGGCAAGCTGGTCGTCTAGGAGTGACTCCCGCATCACGTCACTGAGTCTGTAGTCAGCCTGAGCCAGCAGCTGAAGGTGCAAAAGTGTCTTCTTTTTTATCCTGATGAGACAAAGCCAGTGGAGCCAGATCAGCGAATAAGGAAAGTAGCTTGGCCTGCACTTGCCCAGTCCCCACAAACAGCTTGTGCAACAGGGATTCTTGGAGATTTTAATTCCAGGCAAACACATTTCAGTGAATGCCACGTAGAAAAAGAACAGTGGGCAACAGCCTTCATCCAGTTGTCTTTAGTCAAGAGCTGCCAAACTATTTGCACTGTACTGTGTGTGTGTGTGTGTGTGTGTGTGTGTGTGTGTGTGTGTGTGTGTGTGTGTGTGTGTAAGCCAGAGGGCAACTTGGACTTGGTTCTCTCTAACATGTGGGTCCTGGAGATCAACTCTGATCCCTTTACCCATGGAATCAAGAACTCTAGTAATTACACTGTCATCCATGGTGACAAGCCATATGCAATTACTCTGACAGTGTTAACGGAGTCAAATGAAGTGACACATAAGTTTGTTTTTTAAAGATTTCAAGCTGATGGAAGAAGCTTTCAGTAGGTGAATAAAGTCATCTGTTGTCTAAAAATTAAACCGCCATCTGCCAACTTCAGAATGTGTCTCCTGTGTTAGATTCTAAAACCATAGGGATGACAAGCGACTAGGTCTGTTTTGACTTTAGAGTTTCCATTTCTTTTAGACTCGTGCAAGCAGCTCAACTTGCTGAGTTTTGACACAAAAAACTGCTCGTCCTGCCCAGGAGGAGAGATGCTTAAATTAACTGGAGTTGGTTTGGACCACTCAGGTGCCAAGGGAACAAATGGGATGGTTTTGTTAGGTCTGAATCACACCTTCATAATGTGCTATAGCTAGGAGGGAC